ACTTTAGATAATAAAACACAATGGGGTGCACAAATTCAAAGTCTTGCAGCGAAACTGAGTTCAGCTTTTGCCGTGCGTTTGTACACTGATATATACTGCTAGATTGGTCTATTTCAGTTATTTTCATAGTTTACTCTCTTATAGAATATTACTATGGGGAAAAGCGGCAGATATTAAAAATATATTCATATTACAAAAACGTGCCATTCGAGCGATCTACTGTATGAAGAGTCGTGACTCATTAAGAGAGAAATTCAAAGAGGCAAATATTCTCACCGTTGCTTCTCAATTTATATATTCAAATATCCTATATGTTCATAAAAATCTTGACTTATTTCCAAAAAACAGCAATATTCATAATAATAATACTAGATTTAAAGAAAAACTTGCTGTCCCCAAGTATCGTTTAGAAAAAGTCAATAGGTCTTTTATGGGAATTGGTATAAAATTTTACAATAAGATACCAAAGGATATATTGGAATTACCCTTAAATAAATTCAAACCATCTGTTAAATCATATTTACTATTACTCACTAAACGATTACTTGAACGACGAGCGTGCATGGCAATAGTTTTCATGTTCGGGATTTTCATTTAATGTTAAACATAGACACCTATATATATACCTATGCAGTGTAAATAAACTGGATTAAAAAAAAAATTCAATTGAGTTTCTTGCCAGTTCTTCTCAATTGGATCTATATACCGAACTGGACGGTAGGGAAAAAAATTATAATGTAAAAACTTGAGGTTTATAAGGGGCTAAAATGTCCTACATGAATAAATAATTTTTGAATTTGAATTTGAATTTGAATGCAATTTCACAGACTTATCTATACATTAACTAATAAATCGGTGGTGACATACTACCATCATATATCGTCGGTTAAATAGAAAAATTATCAGTATTCAACATGTACATTTTTTACATGACACGCATTGAAAGTTTGTAAGAGTTGTTCCAACACTTGTGGATAATGATAAACACCCAGACCGATACAAACAATTATACTTAATGAATACAAATGTTTGTGCCGTGCGAGGAATCGAACCGGCGACCATCGGACGTAAAGCAGTGTGCTAGACCGCTAGATCACCGAGGTCGTCGTTTATACATCAGAATAACATATAGGATTTAAACTTCAGGCAAATGAAACCACAGGCACATCTAGTAATAAATAAGATGCATACATTTTACATGCCAGATTCTGGTGATGAGGTTGATTCAAAAATCAGCCATTTTTCCATAATTTTCCACTTTTCAGGTAAAATAAAGATATATGTATTAGTAATAACAAACCCCTCGCTCTTCGTCAGTCGATTGAAACACTCGTCATCCTCTCGGATGCTGCTCGCTCTCTCCGGTGCACCAGACACCCTACGCTTGGTTGCAGCACCGGCTGACTCAGCATCCGACTGCCTTGATATGGACTGATCCAACTGCACCGAGTCTGGGACCAGTATCGGCGCGGAGATAGACTGTATTATAGAAATATATGTATATACTTTTAACACAGTTTTAGCAGTAGATAGATTCAAGAGAAACTTTTATATGTATAATACATGTACACTTACGTTGTGGAATGAATTTACTGCCGAGGTTTTCTTACGAGACTACAGCATGGGGTTTTTACCAAGAAGGGTATATTAAGGTTTCTTAAGGGTCGGCAACGCGCACGTGACACCCCTGGTGCTTCAGGCGTCCATAGGCTACGGTAACCATTTACCATCAGATGAGCCGTATGCTTGTTTGCCACCATAGTAGTATAAAAAAAATGTGGGTGTTTTTTATGCGAAGTCAAGGCTGGTAAGTCATCATCATCATCGCAGCCCGGAAGACGTCCACTGCTGGACATAGGCCTCCCCCAAAGATCTCCACGACGATCGGTCCTGCGCTGTTCGCATCCAGTGCCTTCCAGCGATCTTGACCTGATCGTCGGTCCACCTTGCTGGCTGTTTAGTAAAATATATAATTATTAAATTAATGAAGAATATCACACACACGTTCAATAATTGCCACGTCGATACTGCTGTCTGAACGGTGACTGCAGTTCACCGTCGCACCATCATTCACCATCCTATCATTGCCTTCCAATGATATTGCCGCCAACGCTGCTATATCTGCCTATGACAATAATATCTATACATATAAATAAAATCGGAGTGTCTGTTTGTAATATTGAAATAACTAATTTTTACTACATTCATATGAATATAAATACTTTCTTAGATTTTTTTACAATTTTTGTATGTCTGCCTGTCTGTGTGTTCCGGGTAATCTCTGAAATGGCTGGATCAATTTTGACGGGAGTTGTTTGGCAGGTAACTTATGTAATAGGGTGTAACTTAGGCTACTTTTATTTTAGAAAAATAAATTTAAATTCCACGCGGACGAAGTCGCGGGTACAGCTAGTTAATAATAAACATGTTACCGTAATAATTTATTTTTCAAGATAATTCACACAGCGCCATCTAGCCAAATTAAGCTAGCTAAAGCTTGTGTTATGAGTACTGGCTAGAGCCTACGGCGATAGACCAGCCTCGGTTGTTTAGCAGCTAGCTTTTCCATTTTGGTTTCTCAATTGATGACAACACACACAACTGATACAAATACATAAATATTTTTTCGGAAATACATACATATTATATGTACAAGAAAACACAGACCGATACAAACAATCAGACTCATGAATACAAATGTTTGTGCCGTGCGAGGAATCGAATCCGCGACCATCGGTCATAATACAAGCTTTAGCTGGCTTAACTTAGGTCTAGATGGCGCTGTGTGAATTGTCCTGAGTTTAAAAAAAAAGTTACAGGATGCGAGGCATGACATCTTTGTCCATCGTATCACGGCACATATGATAGCGTGAAAAAAACGTTTCGAGTCACATTTAAAAGACATGTTCTATCTACTGCTAAAAAAAAATTGTTAAATGAAAATGTTGTCAATTTTGTAATATACATATTACAAAGTTGGTCATATTCAATCTATCCAACCTAGCCGTATTCCCCGGTTGTTGGGGGTCTGGCTCTACCTCTGCGCGCTGGTCTTTGCTGTTTAGGCTGCGATTTATTCGGCGATCCTGGCTCTGATTAAGCGGACGCCATACTGCTATCAGTATACATATTAAAACATTGGTCCAAACACGGCAGGAATTACAAAGCAATAAAAACAAGGAAAATATAAAATAAAACTTACTTTGAGCACAACTTTATCTTAAGTAAACTGATGTTTTATGATAAATTTCTTCATACCTTCTTTCATTCTTCTCAAAAATTATAATCCGCCAAATATCCTGGGACACTTTTAAATGCCTTTTTTCCCATAAATTATAATCTGCCAATTAACCTGGGACACTTTAAAATGCCTTTTTCCCTATAAATTATAATCTGCCAAATAACCTGGGACACTTTAAAATGCCTTTTTCCCTATAAATTATAATCTGCCAAATAACCTGGGACACTTTAAAATGCCTTTTTCCCCATAAATTATAATCTGCTAAATAACCTGGGACACTTTAAAATGCCTTATTCCCCATGAATTATAATCTGCCAAATAACCTGGGACACTTTAAAATATTAGTCTTTACATGTTACAAAAGCCGTCAAATAGACCGTTAACTTGTTGACCATTGTTTTTTTTATACCACGTAGATGGCAAACAGGCATACGGCCCATCTGATGGTAAACGGTTACCGTAGCCTATGGACGCCTGAAACACCAGGGGTGTCACATGCGCGTTGCCGACCCTTAAGAAACCTAATATACCCTTCTTGAAAAACCCCATGCTGTAGTCTCTCGAGAAAACCTCGACAGGTAGTTCATTCTACAATCTATGTGTACGCGGGAGGAAGCTCCTCTGAAACCGCACTGTCAGAGACCACTTAGGTTCCAGCGTGTGGGGATGAATTCCCTGTGTATGGCGAGAGCAGAAGACCTCAGAAGTCGAAAACTTCATAAATTATTTGTACAAAATATGTGAAATAAATATTTTACCTATTATTATATAATGAATAACATTTATGTCAAGCAACTAGCCCAAGAGCCCACGACAGCCAAACATACGTCTTATTAGTAAATGTGAAAGTTCTTGTATGTGTGTCCCCAACACAGGTAAGAACGATTCCCGAAACCTAGATCGTGGTTCCTTTGGCAGGTAACAGGTAACAAAGGTGTAAAAATTTTCATATGAAATTTGTCAAGCAGACTCACTATTTTAAGTAACTCACTAATTACCCCTATTCTGAAGAATAGAATAGAAATAATCTTTATTCAAATAAACTCAATACAAGCACTTTTGTTATCCTACCACTCATTCGGAATGCAGAGTCATCACAAGAAGAATGAGCAAGAAACTTGTGTGAGCAACACACAAATAAACTTTTTTTAAATAAATAATAAATGTTTTTTTTTAATAAATAAATAATAAATAATATAATAAATAAACATAATACATAATTACACAATAACAAGTGAGAGGCATGCGATAATCAATATAGAAACCGCTACGCACTCATACTTAGTGCAATCAGATAATATTGGCAGCGCTATGAATTTTAAGTTTTTATTACAAAACCATTATTAGGTATCCCTTACAAACTCTTCAATTTTATAATAAGCATTTTTACATGGAAAGTGTTTTATAGAACATTTGAATCCTTTTTCAGGCAGATTTAGAATAGACTCTGGTAGTTTGTTGTAAAAACAGACTACAAAACTCTGAAGAGACTATTCGTGTACTGTATTTAGATATTAATTTAAATAAAAAGCTAATTTGCGTTTCACATTTAATTTGGCCGTTCCCGCCATTTTACAATACAGGCTATCGACTCCACAGAGTAGGAAACATCATAGACAATAATTATACTACAATTCGATAATAGATGGCGCTATAAATACAGAGAGAGAACTATACCTACTAACTGTACTAGCGTAGTAACTCAAGGACGCAGTTAGGGAATGTAATAAAATTAAAAATACTATTTAAACCGTATATTTCATAGCAGACATTAGTAACTCACAAATTAATCTGGTTGTACCGACACATCGTCTCCAGATCCATCGAACTTCAAGCCACCGGCAGCCGAGTGAGAGTGGCCGGGCTGGTGACTGACACACTCTATAACCACGGATTCATACGCGGACAGGGCCGAACTCTGCCCGAAATCATTATCACCGCTCAAGTAGTCATTTTGAGATTCCAATGAGTGCAGCCCTGATATTTCTTTTATCTAGAAAGAATTTTAACAATATCAATTCTAGAATGTTTCTATCTAAATCTAAATATATATAACTCAAAGGTGACTGACATAGTGATCTATCAACGCACAGCCCAAACCACTGGACGGATTGACATTTGGACAGATAGATGTTAAGACGTAGGCGTTCGATAAAAAAGAATTTTGATTAATTCTACCCCCAAGGGGATAAAATAGGGGATGAAAGTTTGTATGTATGAAACTTTGCCAATTTTAAACCGATCAGGCTGAGACTTTGCATGCATAAAAAGCTACTATGACGTAGGCATCCCCTAAGAAAGGATTTTGATAAATTCCACCCCTAAGGGGATAAATAAACGCAAGCGAAACCGCGGGTAAAAGCTAGTAATATTATAAACGCGAAAGTTTGAGAGTATGTTTGTAACTCTTTCACGTAAAAACTACTGAACGGATTTCGATAAAGCTTAGTGGAATGTATTTTTTATTGTATTTTTATGCATAATTTTTAAATAGAAATAGATAATTCTTTTTTCAAATAAACCTAATTTAAGGAAAGGAAAATATGGTTCAAGTCTCCAATATCAGTACCACATTCACAGATGGCGCTATATATCTTCGAGTGTGTTAAATACGAATATCGCACGACCTTTTTCAACACCAAAAGTGTTTTTTTTAACTCAACCATAAAACTGCAATAGACACTGCTGCTTTCCCGCCATTTTACTTTTTTAAAACAGCGCGCTGCATACTGGCCAGCGCGGCAGCGCCGCGTTACGGTCAGTTCGAAATTTGAAATAAAAATATATTGCGGTTTTGGAATATGACTTCACTATTTGCGTTTATAACGCCCGTGTGTTTTATGAGCTGACCTATGAAAATTAGATCCACTTTACGAGCAAATATGTTGAAATATATATATATATATATATATATCATACTAGTTTTTATCAGCGGGTTCACTCGCATACATTCATTAACGGCTGCTGACGGCGCTGAAGTAGCAACATGTTGATATTTTATGTTCTTGTTTTTTTGTAAAAAATGATTTCTTTTTTTTTTAATACAAAATTTCATATGTTCTAATACCTCCAAGAACATGTGTACGAAATTTCATGATGATCGGTTCAGTAGTTTTTGCGTGAAAACGTTACAAACATCCATGTATAATATCAGTAAAGATTTTTTTTATGTATGATAATGGAATGATGCACCCGCCGGAGTTAACGGTTTACGCTGGCGGGACACCAGTGGCGGATGATAAGATGAGCATGAGGTCAGGTTAGTTAGTCCATAGTGACTAATTCACCAGGAATTTATCACGATGGTTTCCAGGGGGAACTGCGTGGAGGTCAACCTGACGTGGTACATTGGTAGCAATGGGGTCATCAGTCCACATTACTAACAATCCCCTTCTGTCTCTCCTATCAGTAAGGATTCATGTGTGAAGACGTGAGTTTCACTGGTTGGTGATGACAAGAGCGGTGGTGAGAGTAAACATACACAGTACGGTGGAACTTGTATATTATCAATAGTTTTCATGTTCAGGATTTTCATTTAATGTTAGACATAGACACCTATATAAATACCTATGCATTGTAAATAAACTGGCTTTTAAAAAAAAGTAATTCAATTGAGTTTCTTGCCAGTTCTTCTCAATTGGATCTATATACCGAACTGGACGGTAGGGAAAAAAATTATAATGTAAAAACTTAACGTTCATAAGCGGCTAAAATGTCCTACATGAATAAAATGATTTTTGAATTTGAATTTAAATTTAACTGTTTATTCATCCTGATTTACTCTATTTATTTATTGGTTGATTGGGCTATTGTCGTTCACCTGTAAGCTGCGCTAAAATGTCGCTACCTAGACCCGTCAGGGACATGAATAAAATGATTTTTGAATTTGAATTTAAATTTAACTGTTTATTCATCCTGATTTACTCTAGCTTACACTAATTACTAACACTATATATATTAACAACTGTGTGACCTATGTGTCGTTAGATAAAACGTACACTGGCACAATCTACTATCGAACGTGCTGATTTACATCACTATATCACAGTTCGCTCACCTTGGCTTTGGCCTTCCTGAGCTGCCGCCTCATCTCTTTGATGAGCTCATCCTTGAACTGCAGCTCGGTGCTGGCTGCGAGGCACTGGTCGTGCAGCGCCGTACACACGCCTCGCATCGAATCCATTTCCTTTTTGAACGCAACATTCATTTTTCTTAACGTACGTATGCTGTCGCTGCTGGACTGTGGAAATCCTTACTGATTTATTTATTTACCAACTGTACTCGCGATTTCGTCCGCGTGAAATTTAATTTTGTTTTTCTAAAATAAAAGCAGCCTAAGTTAATCCTTATTACATTAGCTACCTGCCAATAAAAATCCCGTCAAAATCGGTCCAGCCATTTCAGAGATTAGTCGGAACAAACTAACAGATAGATAGACCGACAAAAATTGCAAAAAAAAATATTTTGGTGTATGTACCGTATTTATATTCATATGCACGTAGTAAAAAACGGTTATTTCAAGCCAAAACTACTAAACCGATTTAAATGAATTTTGGTTAAAGGGTTGAAACGTGAGATGAAAGGTTGTATGGAATTATAGTATTTTTAAACCTAGAATCTTGACACTTATTTTTAGGCTGTTGATTAAATAACTTTACTTATATCTTAACTAGCTAATCCCGCGACTTCGTCCGCGTGGAATATAACTATATTTTTCTAATATAAAAGTAGCCTAAAGAACTAAAAATTATTTTATTCGTCTTAAATTATTCGTTCCATTAGGTACTGATAGGTTCAAATTAATACATTTAGTTGGGTTGAATTTTAAAATTTCCTATTTAAGCGAACGTCTTCATCATAGTAGCTAGCTACAATCTTTAATTTCAGTTCAATCATTCGAAAATCTAAGAAGATTTATACAAACTTTCATCCCCTATTTTATACCCTTAGGGGTGGATTTTATCAAAATACTTACTTAGGGCATGCCTACGTCATAGTAGCTTTATGTATGCAAAGTCTCAGCCCGATTGGTTTAAAATTGACAAAGTTTCATACAAACTTTCATCCCCTATTTTATCCCCTTGCGGGTAGAATTAATCAAAATCCTTTCTTAGCGGATGCCTACGTCACAACATCTACCTGCATGCCAAATTTCAGCCCAATCCGACTAGTGGTTTGGGCTGTGCGTTGATAGATCACTATGTCAGTCACCTTTGAGTTATATATATTTAGAAGATAAATCCTTTGGTATTTTAATAAGATTATATAACTGGACCTTCAATTTAGCCGACATCTTTTTTATACGATCCTGGTACATCGGCGCTTCCTCGTCCAGTTGAGAGTTATAATCCATTACAGGCTCCCAATCACCGCACTATGAACAAATCCATTAACACGAGTAAATCTATATCGTGTACCGTTTTATAATAGCTAAGGTAAAATATCTTTTTATAAATTAAATTTATTAGTGTTTGGACCAATGTATATAGAGTAGATATAACTGTAAAGTCTGTTCAACAATATAATATATTCACATGATTCTCACCTCATTCCCCGTACAACACAATCCGGCCATAACTTCAGCGTCTTTTTTCAATATCTCCCTGAAACAATTTTTATATAGGTACTTCTCGATTAAAATCTATTCATATAAATAAAATTGGAGTGTCTGTTTGTAATATTGAAATAACCGTTTTTTACTGCATACATATGAGTATACGGTATATACACAAAACTATCATTTTTTACGATTTTTGTCTGTCTGTTTATTCCGGTTAATCTCTGAAATTGCTGGGCCGATTTTGACGTTACTTTTTTGACAGGTGATATAATAAGGAGTAACTTAGGCTACTTTTATTTTAGAAAAATAAACTTAAATTCGAAGAATACGAAGACGAAGTGCAAAGCCGGGGTGAGTAGCTAGTCTTATATATAAAGTTCTCGTGTCACAGTTTTCGTTCCCATACTCCTCCGAAACGGCTTGACCGATTCTCATGAAATTTTATGAGCGTATTGAGTAGGTCTGAGAACCGGCCAACATCTATTTTTCATCCACATGTTAGGGGTAGTCCACCCCAAAATTTTTTTTGTTTAGACAAAATTTTTAGTTTCTATTTTGTTATGATACAACATACAAAAATACATACAATCCTAAATTTTCACCCTTCTATCATCAACCCCTATTTTTTATAGCGTTATTAATTTATATGGCAAAACAACGTTTGCCGGGACAGTTAGTTTTATATATAACAATCAGTCGTAGTTTAGTCCCCGAGAAGTCAACACACTTCCAATCTATATCGAAGCTCTATTTAATGCTTGATGCGTCGTTTAGAGGCGAAACACGTATCCCAATAGTAGACTTAATAACGGTCTGAGTTCTACACGCACAACGGCCCGAATGAGAGGCCAATTGCGGTAAATGGAGTCCAACCTACAACCTACAACGGTCTGAGTTTAATCACCATTAGAGCAGGTCGTAACGCTTCTAGAGCAGTAGCGGTGGTCAGGTTTCCGCATTGAATATTTGTAATCTCACACATACTAATGGTAGCGGATACAATATAATAAAAATGTTTTAAAAAATGAAATAGATTTCCGCAAAATTAATCCTAATTCGATAAAATATAATGCAGAAATAGACAATAAAGAGTACACGATTTTGGTGGTCTGTGTGAATCTGTTTTTCTATTATATTTAAAGCTAAGGTAATACATACGTTTCACTGCTTTCTCTTAACGACACCTTATTCCTCAGGTTGATGATGGTACGTTCATACTGCTGGATATCCTTGTTTAGTCTTTGTATCTCCCTATGTAAAGAACCAACGTGATGAACTGATCATGTATGTTTGGGAAACTACTCTGCTACCAAAAGTGTTAGGGAAGCGTCAGTCATTTACCTTTATGGTTCTGCGGATTTCTTGGGCTTCAGGGTCTCGAAGGTATCTTCGCTAGCTTTCCAGCTTCACAGTAGGTTTCATAGTAGGTTTCACAGTAGGTTAACACAGTTCTAATTTATTTTAATTCACAACACAATGCGCGCGCGCGTCAAGGCCGCTGTACAGTCCGTTTGTTACTAGGTGAGGGAGGGGAAGGCAAAGCGCGGGAACACAAACTAACGGACTCTAATATAATAATCTGTGCTTACGATGATACCGGGTAGATTTTGAACAATGTAAGAATTTTATTTCAGGGGACAAACGAGCTTGCAGCTCACCTAATGGTAATCGATTACTGCCGCCAATTAGTACCCACAATACCAGGTAAATTGCATGCGTTGCCTTTTTACAAGGAATAAGTTCTTTTCTTGAAGGTTTCAATATCATATCGGTTCGGAAATACCATTGCTGGTAGGTGATTCCGCAATGTGGTTGAGCGTGGCAAAAAGTTTCTAGAAAACCGCACTGTGGAGGACCACCATTCATTCAGATGATCAGGATGTTATTTTAGTTTCTGGCGGGTGGTATGGTGAAATTCAGCAGCTGGTAATAATCCGAACAATTACTCAGAACACTCATTTTGATATACTCATATATGGTAGTAAATGTACAGAGATGCCATATCTCGCCGATTTGACCAAGCAACTTACCAAGGAACAGAAAATATTTTATTCAAATAAACTTAATTTTAAGCACTTTTGAGTAGTCATTATTTATTTTTTTAATCTACCGCTCATTCGGAAAGCTGTTTCACCATAAGAAGAACCAGCAAGAAACTTACATGTTGCTCTTTTAAGATAAGTCCCATTATAATTGAATGAACGTTGATCTTTCTAATATCACAAATAACATAATATTACATATATCATAAACGCGAAACTTTGTAAGTATGAATGGATAGAATAATGGAAGAATGTTTGTGAGATAAAGTTTGAATTGAAGTTAGAAAAATTCTCAAGTTTAAATTTAAAATTAATCTGTATTATTACAATTATGGGATTGTAAACATATATAATATTAATTTGAAAAGAATACGAGCTGAGTTTCATGTCAGTTCTTCTCGTCTCGAAATCATTCCGAACTGACTGTAGATTTGATATATCATAAGAGTCTGTAATAGACCTACATGAATGAATTTTTTAAATTTTGAACAAGAATAGAATATACCGAAAATACTCTTGTACAGATGTCGTTTTAATATTATAATAATTATCTCTATTCTCCCAAACTTTAAATTGAAAAATGATGTTAGATCATTTAAAAATGAATCTGTATTACTGTAAACATGTACAACCTTATTTGAAAAGAATACGAGCTGAGTTTCTTGTCAGTTCTTCTCATCTCGAAATCATTCCGAACTGACTGTAGATTTGACATATCATAAAAGTCTGTAATAGACCTACATGAATGAATTTTTTAAATTTTGAATAAGAACAGAATATACTGAAAATACTCTTGTACAGATGTCGTTTTAATATTATAATAATTATCTCTATTCTCCCAAACTTTAAATTGAAAAATGATGTTAGATCATTTAAAAATGAATCTGTATTACTGTAAACATGTACAACCTTATTTGAAAAGAATACGAGCTGAGTTTCTTGTCAGTTCTCAACTCGAAAGCATTCCGAACTGATGGTAGATTTGACATATCATAAGAGTCTGTAATAGATCTACATGAATAAAGATATTTTGATTTTATTTGATTAACAATATAGAATACCTGTCTTTAGCTGTGTTTTCTTTTTGTAGGGAATCATTTAGTATCAGAAGTTCGCTCCAATCGGCGCTCACTTTCCACTTCTTGTCTTGCTACAATCAAACATTCAGAGCACAATTACATTTAGAAATTATACAATAAAATAGAAGTACCTATATTTTTTATACTACAACGTCGGCAAACATACGACCGATCTGATGGTAAACGGTTACCGTAGCCTATGGACGCCTGAAACACCAGGGGTGTCACGTGCGGGTTGCCGACCCTTAAGAAACCTTAATATACCCTTCCTGAAAAACCCCATGCTGTAATCTATATTTGTACCTATGGATTATGACACGTCTTTATAATATTTTACAGCAGAATTAATATTTAATACTAATTTTTTCTAAGAAAGGTTGTTTGAAAGAGATTGCATTATGTACAAGTCCGGTTTTTGTAGCTTTATTATTACTCTGTTAAGTGTGATTTTTTTAAAACGTAGGTGAGAAACAAGCAGGCCTATCTGATAGTAAGTGGTTATCGTAGCCTATGGACGCCTGAAACACCAGGGGTGTCACATGCGCGTTGCCGACCCTTAAGAAACCTTAATATACTCTTCTTGAAAAACCCCATGCTGTAGTTTATGTTACTGCTAGGTGTACGTATGGATTATGACATCACTTTATAAGATTTTATAACATAATTAATAATTAATATCTGCTAAATTTCTACTTTAAGAAAGGTTGTTTGGGAGAGATTACTTTATGTAAATACAAGTCCGGCTTTTGTAGCTTATTACTTTGTTAATTGTGATTCTTTTACTACGTAGGTGACAATCAAGCATACGGCCCATCTGATGGTAAACGGTTAACATAGCTTATGAACGTCTGAAACACCAGGAGTGTCACGTGCGCATTACCGACTCTTAAGAAACCTTAGTAATTATAGTGATTCTTGTATTACTAATTTGGTGCAATAAAAAATTAATAAATAAATAAAAAAATATATTTTATTTAAAAAAAACCTATATAACTTCTGAAAATGTATATTCTTGTCTCATTCCGAGGTTATCATTCTGTGGCTATTATTAATAAACCATACCAATTGAAATTATCGTTAGAAATAAATAAAAATGCAATTTAAAAAAAATGTATATTGAAAATAAATAAAAATAAATACAAAAATATATAAATTTCAAATGCAATCATATTTCATATTAAAGATATTTTATCTTTAACGTTAATATTGTTAGAATTACGTTTTGTGTCGCCTTGTTCCAGTTTCTTCCTTCGCCTGTAACATAACGACAATAAACATAAAAACAAATTAATTATGTAATTTCTTATGTATTATGTTTATAATAATAATGGATAGACACATATACAACTACGGAATCTAGCATGATTTTATTATATAATTACTAGCTGACACCGCAACGTAGTGCAAAAATCGCTATTGGTAAAAAATGGGGGTTGGTGATAGAACAGAAAATTTAGGATTGTATGTATATTTTAATGACACATAATAAAACAAAAATAGTATCAAAAAAAGCCCTTATCACTATGGGCTATGAAAAATAGATGGTAGCTGATTCTCAGACCTGCTAAATATGCATATAAAATTTCATTAAAATCGGTCTAGCCGTTTCGGAGGAGTATGGTAACTAACATTGTGACCCGAGAATTTTATACATATATATGATATAACTTGATAAACTTATTTGAATAAAGATGATTTCAATGGATTTATGTTTCGATGGGTTCCGCCAGAGAAAAAGTTTAATTTGAAGCAATTTTGAACAGCCATTTTATGTAGAACTAGCTGTTCCCGCGACTTCGTTCACGTGGAATTTAACTATAATTTTCTAAAATAAAAGTAGCTTAAGTTACTCCTTATTACATCAGCTACCTGCCAAAAACAGTCCCGTCAAAATCGGTCCTGCCATTTCAGAGATTACCCGGAACAAACAGACAGACCAATCAACAGACGAAGTTCCGCTGATCAGCAAGTAATTCATAGTAGTTAAAGCAACGCCCGGTTAAATAGCATTAATCACACTTACCAATCAACAGTGCCAAATATATCTGATTCGGTGACTTCAAAGAAGTGTATTCCGTCCAGGGTGCAGTAGTCGAACTCTCGGAGCCGCCGCAGCACCTCCACGAGCCCCCGAAGGTCGGAATCCTTCCGAGTGATTCGTCTCCACAAAGCCGCTATCTCCGCGCGCAACTCGCTTACCATCTGTGTTTTATTACCAACTTCAAAGCTAATACTCACTATTCAAAGGCCAAATCGCGTGTATGAACAACTTAATTTGTGTAGCATTGTAGCACCTGGTAACCAGGACTAACTTCCCCACTGGGCACGTTCCTAGGCCCCGCGATGTTTTGGGGACCCCTAGTCTAATCTAGTCCTTACTCCAATACCAAACGATAACCGATAGCTACTCTACTCTTACCTGAAAATCAGTCTTAACAAATGCTTACTGACTATGGTCAATTTGTTCATTTTTGTTAATATTTTTTTATAAATGTCTAGCTAAGCTTGTTCTTTAGAAATTGAACTCCTCATCACATAACGACTTTTTAAAATTATTTTTGCATGATTTTTTTTAAGGTACGTATCTCTATGAACATCTCTAAAGAGTCATGTTCAAAAATGACTTCTAACAAAATAGCGCTTTATTACTATGGTCATAGGGGCCCTGTTGCAGGTGAATGATACCGTGTTGTTGGTCGAGACGATGTATATTACAGATGATAATAAACTGACCATATGTACATAGAAATAATGATCTTATATACTAAATAATAATAGGAAAATGTAAGGTGGGGTGACACAGTTTAGACACAGCAGTGCTTAGTACACAATATTGAATTTGTCTTACTAGACATTATTAAATGCAATTATTATTTTGATGTATCTAGGTGACTGTGTCCCATAGACCCCATTAACCTAATGTGCCTGCTGGTAAACCCAGGACCTCACGATTCCAACGTATGCGCAGTCAGCCTCTAGCCTGTGCAATAATCTTATCGCTACGCAATTTCTTCTGGACTAATAAAGATAAGAAGAAGGCAATGTGACGCATAAATTTAACATCTCATATATAAAATTCTCGTGTCAGAGTTTTCGTTCCCATACTCCTCCGAAACGGCTTGAGCGATTCTCATGAAATTTTATGGGCGTATTGAGTAGATCTGAGAATCGGCCAACATCTTTTTCATCCCCCTAAATGTTAGGGGTAGTCCACTCCTAATTTTTTATTTTTATTTTAAGCAAAACAACGTTTGCTGGGACAGCTAGTATCTATATAAATAAACATGAATTGCTGTTCGTTAGTCTCGTTAAAACTCGAGAACGGCTGAACCGATTTGGCTAATTGTAGTCTTAAAATATTCGTGGAAGTCCAGGGAAGGTTTAGACGGTGATAAAATATGAATAAAACATAAATATATTTTTTTTTTCTTTATGGATGATGCACCTGCTTGCGCTGACGGTTTACGCTGGCGGGACACTAGTGGAGGATGATAAGATAATCATAAGGTCAGGTTAGTTAGCCCATCGTGGCAAATTCACCATGAATATCACGATGGCTTCCAGGACCACGTGGAGGTCATTCGATATGGTACATTACTACATATAAAAATTACGTGTCACGTTGTTTGTCCGTGATGGACTCCTAAACTACTGAACACATTGCAAATTTGATTTGCACATTGTGTACAATTTATAGCATCTCAATTTATAGTCGCAATTTTATTTTATTCAAGAACCTTAGCCATTGTAACGCGTGCCCGGGGCTGCTAGTAAAAAAAAAGATAATATTGTTCGCGCCTACAAAGTTGCATCCAGAAATTTATATTTTTAAATACTGTTTAATTATTCAAAAGGGTACGTATAAATAAAGGGTAGACAAATTATTACTTTGAAATTGAAGAGCAATGTCATTGAAACAGTTTGTACTAGACAGCCATTACGTTCGCATCCATCCATACAGTTATACGCATTTTTATACATTCTATAAGTTAACCAAATTGTACGTGAAGCAATAAATCTTACATTCAACAGAAAAGAGTTTCTCTGTATAACCTTAAGAAGCTCCAGATGTCAACCTAGACGTAATTGGCTGGTGTGAACTTTGTAGGCGCGAACAGATATTATATTAATACAAGTATATTTATATTATTAGATAGAAAAATATCGTCTCATTTCCAAGACATGTTGCATACAAATACAGACGAACTCATGTTGCATTTGTTTCAGTAAATAAAATTAAAATAGTATCTGTTCAACAGGATATGCCTCATAAATAACGTGTAGGTATTGATAATTTTAGATCGAATGCACTGTGCACGAAATAAAGTCGATCATTCCAGATGTTGTTCAACTATAAATAGACAACTTCTACGTACAATATTAAGAAGTAAACTAACGTATAAATATTCTTTTATTTTTATTTAATTATTATTATATAATTGTAGGGTATGATGTTTGAACCCTAAAGGTTAAAGTCGTGTCCTCCGGACAGGAGTCCTTCAAGCGAACCTTCCTTTTCAATTCAAAATATCTTTATTCATATAGGTCTATTACAGACTCTTATGATATATCAAATCTACCGTCAGTATGGAATGATATCGAGATGAGAAGAACTGACAAGAAACTCAGCTCGTATTCTTTTCAAATTAATGTTGTACACGTTTACAATAACACATATTCATTTTTAAATTCACATTTGGGATCATAGAGCGACCACTAGCATATGCTATGGCAAAAGTAAGTAGTCTAATCAGTGTCGTAACCCGAACAGACCAGTAGACACAGCAGTACCCGTTCATGAGTATCACTTTGGTTTGGAGTGACATCTGCACTCATCTACTATCGTCCGGTGAAGCTGTAAAGGCCAGCTGCGGCCAACAGCATTAGGCTAGTCCGAAACGTTGATTGAATTGATTTAAATTAGATATATAATAGTAGAGGAAGTTTTTAGATTGAAATTATGTTTAATACAAGTGGAGGAATTAGTAAGAGAGTAGTAGAACATGTCATAATCCATTTGGTACAATTAAAACACATAAAACCGAGTTACTTAACCATCGATCCTCTGACCAATTTAAACAGGGATCGAAATTGACCTCAGACTAATCTCATATCTAGTCGAGTTGTGCTTCAGGCACTCCATAAGTCCTTCCGCGGGTTTGGAGTGCCATCCGCACTAGCTCCTATCCTATCGTCCGGTGAAGATAAAACGGCCAGCTACGGCCAACAGCATTGGAGTAGTCCGAACAAAACAGAGTTGTACATAAAATTATATAAAATTCTCGTGTTAGTTGCCATAGGTTCTTTTCCGAAACGGCTGAACAGATTTTGACGAAATCGTATACGTATACTCGGTATATCTGATTATAGGTTGTTATATATTTTTTATACCCTAATATTTTTTTTTATAAAAATACGCGGGTACCCTACTATTTCACCCTTTTATCATCAACCCCTATTTTATATATGGCTAGACATCGTTTGCCGGGTTATATAGTAAAATATATGTTACCTCAGAATGCCTGCGACGTTCAACGAGCAGATTTATAGCCTCTGTTTCTAATTGTTCGACGGCGCGCACCAGCAGCGTGTTCTGTCCAACGACATCGCTCACCCACGACCGGAGCACGTCCACTTGCATCTACATACAATAGACAGACAAATAGATAGATACATACAAATAGATAGATTATTATAAACATGTTCCACTATTATTTGAAAAAAATACGAGCTGAGTTTCTTGTCAGTTCTTCTCATCTCGATATCATTCCGAACTGACGGTAGATTTGACATATCATAAGAGTCTGTAATAGACCTACATGAATAAAGATATTTTGAATTTGAATTTGAATTTAAATAGATAGATAATTCATTTCCTTGAACATTTACAGTGTAGATTATAGGATATAGTTACCTAGATATAGAGTTCCCAACCGTTTTCCCAGGACATGTCCCAGTTTTTGAAGTGTCCTGGGAAGTCCTGAATAGTTATGTGTCAGCGTCCTGGATTTTTAAAATCTGCGCGCCTCTTAATTACTGTTTTTCAACAGTATAATTTTATCAAATACTTTTTATTAAAAACCTGATTATATTAATTACTTGGATTTTAATATATGTTAATATAACTATTGCAACATCAAAAGAAGAAAGAATAAATATATAAAAACACTATTACTGCATTTTGTTTTTAAACTGGATAGTCCTGGTTTTGGACTTTCAATCCTGGTCTTTTAAATTTGGGCTTGGCAACCTTACCTAGCTATATTTAACATAATAATTGTAATTAATAATGGCTAACATTGTGTGTTAGGGAATTTACTCTCTGCTACCAAAATGTTAGGGAAAGTACTATGTATCTATATAGGGAAAAATAAATGTGGTGGAAGCGTCTGTCACGTACCTGTATGGTTCTGCGGATTTCTTGGGCTTCAGGGTCTCGAAGGTATCTTCGCTAGCTTTCCAGTTTCACAGTAGGTTTCACAGTAGGTTTAACACAGTTCTAATTTATTTTAATTCACAACACAATGCGCGCGCGCGTCAAGGCCGCTGTACGGTCTGTTCAGTACTAACGGACTCTAATATAATAATCTGTGCTTACGATGGTACAGGGTAGATTTTGAACATTGTGATATAAGACAAATTAAATATTGTGTACTAAGCACTGCCGTGTCTAAACTGTGTGACCCCACCTCACCTTTCCTATTGTTATTTAGTATATAGATGAATATTTTTATATACATTTTGTCAGTCCATATCATCTGCAATATACATCGTCTCAACCGACATTTACGGGAAGAGGTATAAAAATTTACAATAAGATTTACCAAAAGATATACTGGAATTACCTTTAAATAAATGTAAAAAATTTGTGAAATCATATTTACCAAGCTATAACAGCTTAGTGCGTATAATAAAATGACAAACGTCCATGGCAGTAGTTGTTCATGCACGGGATTTTCATTCTATGTATATCGGTACACAATAATAATAATAATTCAAATTCAAATTAAAAAATCATTTATTCATGTAGGACATTTTAGCCGCTTTCAAATTTTTACATTATAATTTTATTTTTTCCCTACCGTCCAGTTCGGTATATAGATCCAATTGAGAAGAACTGGCAAGAAACTCAATTGAATTACTTTTTTTTTTAAAGCCAGTTTATTTACAATGCATAGTATTTATTTATATAGGTGTCTATGTCTAACATTAAATGAAAATCCCGAACATGGAAACTATTGCCATGCACGCTCGTCGTTGAAGTAATCGTTTAGTGAGTAATAGTAAATATGATTTAACAGATGTTTTGAATTTATTTAAGGGTAATTCCAACATATCCTTTGGTATCTTATTGTAAATTTTTATACCTATTCCCATAAAAGACCTATTAACTTTTTCTAAACGATACTTGGGGACAGCAAGTTTGTCTTTAATATTAATATTATGAATATTGCTGTTTTTTGGAAATAATCTCAGGACAATTCACACAGCGCCATCTAGACCCCAGTTAAGCTAGCTAAAGCTTGTGTTATGGGTACTAGATAGCTGATACAAATACATAGATATTTTTTTTTATAAATACATACATGGTTTTAAAAAAAATCATTGGAGTTTCTAGAAAGTTCTCAATTACTACAAACTGGACGGGAGCAAAAACACATACATTTAAGTTTGTTATTGTCAATTTTTATTTTAACTTTGTTAGTTGTAGTTAAAATACAACTAACAAAGTAAAAATAAAAAAACTTAATATGCTATCGTCGTCGTCGATCTCACATTGTATTTTACTGATAAAGGCTATAACAGAATAGCAGAGAGGGTGGAATCACTGCCCCACTGAGTTATAGACCGTTTTGTCTCATTCATTAGTTTTTAAATTATATTATTCTATGGGCAATAGTTGTATTGTGTAAAAAGTTTGTTTGAGACAAATAAAGATTATTATTATTATTACTAAAACTTGATTTAATTTAAAATATTGCATAGGATTATATAGTTGTGTGACCTGTAATTTATTGCTTCCTCCAACCCTCTCTATGAGCTGCATCCTCTCCTCGTACGCCCTCTGTACATCCCTCAGTATGTCCAGGGTTGGGCCTCCCCTGCACCCGCACGATTCCCGCTCAGCAACCTCGCACTCCACCACATTTGAATCCATCCCAAATAAAACTTATAATAAAAAATATATCTCTAAACAATTTCACATTTAATATTGGAAAGACTGTGCTTATTTCGATGTATTGAATTTGACGGACTGATGACGTTTTTTGATATCTCTATAGATAATAGACAATGTTACAAACATACAACCTTTCTTTGAACTATTATTCTCTATCTACAGACCAGATTATCTATACATCTATACATATAAATAAAATTGGAGTGTCTGTTTGTAATATTTAAATTACCGTTTTTTACTACATGCATATGAATATAAATACGGTACATACACCAAAATAATATTTTTTACAATTTTTGTCTGTCTATCTGTTTGTTCCGGCTAATCTCTGAAATGGCTGGACCGATTCTGACGGGACATTTTTTGTCAGGTAGCTGATATAATAAGGATATTTTTATTTCAGAAAAATAAAGTTAATTCCATGCGGACGAAGTCCCGTGAACAGCTAGTATTAATATAAAATAAAAACAACGTGAAAGTGTATAGTCCATTTATTTGTATAATTTGGCTACAAGTCTTTGTAACTACACGTCTGCGTACATTTATAACTTAGTGCAATCTATATAGAACATACGAACATTTCAGTAGACAAATATTTACATTTCACAAGTTCATATTATCACATAGCGCATGAATATTAACTTTTATCAACCAGAAACTCTACTGAAACACACGTAAATCTTACAGTCCTCGTGACTATATGAAGAGCTATGCTCAAAACTTAATACAAATAAGTCAATGTAGGAGCGCATTACATTATCAAATTCTACAACAATCAAAGTTACATCAGTTTGTAATACAGTGAAACCTGGATAAGTGGGAGCAAGGGAATTGTTAGTAATGTGGACTGATGAGTCAGGTTGACCTCCACGCGGTTCTACCTGGAAACCATCGTGATAAATTCCTGTTGAATTTGTCACGATGTGCTAACTGACCTGACCTCAAGCTCATCTTATCATCCCCCACTGGTGCCCAGCCAGCGTAAACCGTTAGGCGGGTGCACCATTCCATTATCATCCATAAAAAAAACCTGGATAAGTAGGAAACCTCCATTATTGAGAGTTGCAATGTAGTCCCGGTACTTTTTCATTGAATTATCTCTATTAATAGGACTCCGAACTAGGTTGAATGGGATTTGAATTCTTGATTCATTAAACCACATATATTTTTTAATGTAACAAATACCATATAATACAAGAATCTACATTCATTTATTCATTACATTCTGAAGTTGTACAAGAACATACCATACAAATTATTTGTGCTTAAAAATCTAAACATGATTGAAAAGAACAAACTATTTGTATTTAACTAAAGTAAAATCTCTAAGGTGACGGACATAGTGATCTATCAACCCACAGCCGAAACCACTGGACGGATCGGGCTGAAATTTGGCATGCAGGTAGATGTTATGACGTAGGCATCCGTTAAGAAAGGATTTTGATTAATTCTACCCCTAAGGGGATAAAACAGGGGATGAAAGTTTGTATGAAACTGTCAATTTTAAACCGATCGGGCTTAGACTTTGCATGTATAAAGTATAAAGTTACTATGACGTAGGCATCCTCTAAGAAAGGACTTTGATAAATTCCACCCCTAAATATATAAAGGGTTAAGGATAAATTAACACGAGAGAAGCCGCGGACAAAAGCTAGTATTAAATAAAATTACCAACACGTTTAAACAATAATTTACTTATTGAAACAAAAAAATCGTAGGAGCGTATTACATTATCAAATTCTACAATAATCAAAGTTTGTTATACACTGAAACCTGGATAAGTAGGAAACCTCTATTATTGAGAGTTGCAATGTAGTCCCGGCACTTTTTCATTGAATTACTTCTGTTAATAAGAATTTTCAAACGGTAAAATGGTTAAATGAGATTTTAATACTAAAATATTTTCCACTTTTACCTCTATAATTAGGACTCTGTTGTTGAATTCCCATCTAGTATAAAGATTAGAGTTTAAGAGAGAGACGAAGGAGGGGCGGGGGAACAAGAAAATGAGAGCGGTAAGAGAATAGAGTTAAAAGAAGGAGAATGTAGCGCGGTGGTAATCACCTCATCACTTTAGCATTATATATGATGTGATGAGGTGTCGCCACATAATATATTGTTTATTGTAATATGTAGGTAGTAGTAGCAGTAGGAAGGCCGAAAAAGAGATGGATGGACTGTGTGAAAGATGATATGATAAGAAAGGAAGTAAATAACGCGATGACTGCGAACAGGGATGAATGGAAGCGAAAAACATTACGCCGACCACAAATAAATGGGATAAGGAAGAAGCAGATAATGTAGTATGTAGGTAGTGAGTATACAGGTGTAATATTTGTACTATTTATTGTACATTAGTAAGTTTATTTTTTAGTTTATTAGTGACGCGTACATTCGACGCGGAGTTGGGATGTAGACTGACTTTACACTTAACTTAAATAATGTATACATAAGCGTTAACCCAATAAACAGTACTCTAAGCGGGCATACATACAATACGTAACACAAATTTCGCGATACTCAACCCCTCTCCCATCCTTGTCACAGTTTGTCACATATATAAGACTCACATCTTCCTACTGTGAAGTTATGTATTTTGAATACTGAAGTATTTTCGTTAATAATTCAAATTTCGAGTTTCAACGCTTATATATTAGATTTTCAATGTGACGTCACGAAACTTATGGATATTCTCACCCCCCTATGAATATTCTCACCCCCTTATGTATATTCTCACCCCCTTATGAATATTCTCACTCTGGCGACCCTGCCCCATTTACATGTGACAAATTTATGACTTACCCCCAACTGGTAAATATGTACAAATTTCTCTACTTATAACTAGATACAGCCACGGAGAGGTACTGTTCTGTAGTTTAAGAGGACATACGTACGAATAGGAATAAATTTAATTAATATAGAAATCGGTTATAATCCGAATAATTTTATGATAAATAAAAAATATCTGACAGCTCTCCGAATGAGCGGTAGATTAAAAAAATGATGACTATTCAAAAGTTCTTCAATGTAAGTTTATTTGAATAAATGATTTTCTATTCTATTCTAGATGCATTAGACTAGGTTGCAATAGCCGTGGTCAGGACCTGACTGAAGTAACACCGAATGCAATTTTGATAAGTGCCGGCAGTTTGTTCAACTAGCAATATCTAATTGTAATGAAAAATCGCAACATATGGTACTCATATAGTACTCAGCTCGCGACCACATCCAGCGTAACCTAGTCGAAACGTCGAGAGCATTCATTTACCACCAAAATATTTGTATCGTACGATGACAACCCGCGACAATAAGGTTTCCATTGTGCTAAACCGCTAGACCACTGGAGCTGTCAAATTATTTTCTCAACTAGACAGAAACTGACGAAATCATTTTAATAATTAAAACCCGTTTGTAGACATTCTATTTAATAGTGTCCTTGTTTTGTCCCCACGTCGTCCTTTTTTCGTCCTCACGTCATCCCTGTTTTGTCCCCACGTCGTCCCTATTTTTTCCCCATATCGTCCCTGTTTTGTCCCCACGTCGTCCCTATTTTGTCTCCATGTCGTCCCTGTTTTGTCCCCACGTCGTCCCTGTTTTGTCCCCACGTCGTCCCTGTTTTGTCCCCACGTCGTCCCTATTTTGTCCCCACGTCGTCCCTGTTTTGTCCCCACGTCATCCCTATTTTGTCCCCACGTCGTCCCTATTTTGTCCCCACGTCGTCCCTATTTCGTCCCCACGTCGTCCCTGTTTTGTTCCCCTCTAGTAAACCTAATTAACTTCTTCAAATATAGTAGCAGCGTGATTATAAATAAATAAATATCCCTGTACATATCACACCGCGCCATCTAGTGATAAAGTATGTATGTCAACCTTGTTTACAAAATTAAGTATAACCATTACGTACTATGATGTGTGACATGTCAAAATATGTACAAATTACATCAATATGAAGCTAACACAGAAATATTATACATTACATAGCAAACGCCCAAACCAATACAAATAACAAATAAAACAATATAACAATAATAACCTTTAACAGACCTTATTAATATCTTTATATATAAAAACTAGCTGACCGTTATTTTGCCATATAAGGGGTTGATGAAAAAGACAAGGGTGAAAATTTAGGGTTGTATGTATTTTTAATGCCACATTATAAAAAAATATTTTTTTTTTCCGATAAATAAAAATATAATAATAACAAATGTTAGGAGTGGACAACCCTTATCACTTAGGGCTATAAAAAAATAGTAGCCGATTCTCAGACCTACTGAATATATAAAATTTCATAAAAATCGGTCAAGCCGTTTCGGAGGAGTATGGTAACTAACATTGTGACACGAGAATTTTATATATAAGATTACGTGTCACGTTGTTTATCCGCGATGGACTCCTAAACGACTAAACCGATTACAAATTTGATTTGCACATTGTGTGCAATTTGATCCAACTTGAAAGATAGGACAGCTTGCATCTCAATTTATATATTTTTTTTTATCCCGGAGAAATACAACCCCGGATTCTTCAAGTCTATGGTGATAATAGATATCTTCTGGGTAAGCGAGCTACATCCTAGTTCTTGCCATCATTTACCATCAGATGGGGTAAGACCAAGCGCAACCCCATTATAAATAAATAAAAAAAAAAATTGAATAAAGTATTTTCTATTCTAGTCTAGTCTATACATAAGGTGTTTAAGGATTGGGCCTTAGGATTGGATATATACGTACTACAAAACCTATATAACCAAAATAACAATTTAAAACAACATGTCACATTCATAATATTGATAACAGGAATAGGAAACAATGCTATACAGCCTTCATTAAAATTAATCTTATATATATAACAATCAACATATTAACCGAGCGGGAATAAATGCTTCAAACGTATACAATACTAATGATGGTCCGGTGAAGCTGTAAAGGCCAGCTGCGGCCAATAACATTAGAGTAGTCCGAAAAGAAATAAAAATGTGTGAATAAAAGTGAATTTATAAGAGTACTAGTTGCACCTGCGACTTCGTACGTGTGGAATTTAAATTTTTTATTCTAAAATAAAAGTAGCCAAGTTACTCCTTGTTGCATCAGCTACCTGCGAATAAAAGTCCCGTCAAACGTGATCCAGCCATTGCAGAGATTAGCCGGAACAAACAGACAGACAGACAGACTGTGGTATAAAGACCAGACAAGACATGAATGTGAAAACTAGTCATCACGTCACGACAGGACACATCATCTATACATATAAATAAAACTGGAGTGTCTGTTTGTAATATTGAAATAACCGTTTTTTACTACATGCATATGAATATAAATATGGTACATACACCAAAATAACATTTTTTACAATTTTTGTCTGTCTGTCTGTCTATTTGTTCCGGCTAATCTCTGAAATGGCTGGACCGATTTAAACGGGACTTTTTTTGGCAGGTAGCTGATGTAATAAGGAGTAACTTAGGCCACTTATTTTTGAAAAATAAAGGTAAATTCGTCGCGGGAACAGCTAGTACTAAATATTCTTAACCGATACCGTTCTGACGCGTCATACTACGACACATCAGCCAATATAAATCTACCTTAAAGTGGACTCATTCACGAATACACGAGCTGGCTGTCCCACGCTAGTATATTGCAAATACTTTCTTGAATGTAGTTTTGATTGTTGATGATCACGGCAAAATATTTTATGTATATATATATATAAAATAGTTTAGTCAAAGTCTTCAGCTTCTAACGGTGCGACATCTAACGGTGATTCTGTTGTAATTCTGAAACACAGATAATATATACTATAAAGCTTAGAGAAACGATATGCAGATTTTAGTGTATAATCTGTTTATACTTATATATTACTTACTAAGTACATTCACACATTAAGAATATAGACAATTTCAAAATAGTCAGTGATTACACTAATAAAAGCTTACGTATCAATAACAAACTGATTTTATCTAAATGTCGTTTAACTAAAGTTAGTAATTCGTTTTATGGTAATTGCGTAAGGTTTTACAAGAAAATACCAGAGTCTGTTATAAATCTGCCTGAAAAAACATTTAAATGTTATATAAAACATTTCCTTTGCAAAAAAGCTTACTATAAAATTGAAGAATTCGTTAACGACAATAATGTTTTAATAGAAAAACTTTAAATCCATAGCACTGACAAATATTATCTGATTACACTAATAATGAGTGCGTAGCGATTTCTATGTTGATTGTCGCGTGCCTCTTACTTGTTATACTGTAATTATTATATAAAAAAAAACATCTATTAAAAATAGCAACACACAAGTTTCTTGCTCATTCTTCTTGTGATGACCTGCATTCCGAATGAGTGGTAGAATCAAAATATGACTATTCAAAAATGCTTGTAATGAGTTTATTTGAATAAAGATTAATTCTATTTCGTTCATCTTTACAATACATTTACATTATTTCATCAACATACTTGCTCGTAAAGTGAATCTAAATTCATGTACATAAAGCAGGTCAGAAAACAAGCTTGCGTTATAAACGCAAATAGTGAAGTTATATTCCATAGCCGCAACATTTGCAATTTTTTGTTTATAAATTTCGAACTAACCTAAAACTGAAAAAAGTAAAACGGCTAGAAAGCAACAGTATAGATCACAGTTATATGGTTGATTTTGTTTAAAAGTGTGTTAAAAAACAGCGTTTGATTATACTATAATATATATTTTTAACGGCACTTTATAAAAAACAAAATATAAAAATTTTGTCCTATACATAAAAAAAAATGTTAGGGTTATGGTTATGATATGATATATATGTTAGGAATAATGAATGACAAATAGATAGTAGCTGATTCTCAGACCTAAATATGCTAATAAAATTTCATAAAAATCTAAAAAAAACTTGCGTGTTGCTCTTTTAAATAATCATTGTAACTTTACATTTTTAAGTCGAAATGTGTGAGAATACAAACCACCAACAAGCACCAATTTATTAGGGTCAGATATTAATATATATCTTTATATATATAGTAGCAGACCCGGCCACGCGTTGCTGTGGCTAAGGTTCTTGAATAAAATAATATTGCGACTATAAATTGAGATGTAAGCTATCCTATCTTTCAAGTTGGATCAAATTGCACACAATGTGCAAATCAAATTTGCAATCGGTTCAGTAGAGGAGTTCATCGCGGACAAACGTGACACGTGGGGGGAAGGGGATTGTTAGCAATGGGAGCTAGTAACTCCTATTGCTAGCAATGTACCATGTTAGGTCGACCTCCACGTGGTTCTCCCTGGAAACCATCGTGATGAATTCTTGGTGAATTTGTCACGATGGGCTAACTGACCTGACTTCATGCTCATCTTATCATCCTCCACTGGTGCCCCGCCAGCGTAAACCGTTAGCGCAGGCGGGTGTACCATTCCATTATCATACACAAAAAAAAAACGTGACACGTAATTTTGATATATAACGATGAAATACCTTGCAATCTCATTCACCAGACTAGTGCAGTCGTGGCGAGGCGACGCTGGGCGTGCGATGTCCTCAGTAGAACTGTTTCAGCTGTTCATACGTGATGAAGAAGATGATATTCCACGGCCCCATCCGCAGCCACGTCGGGATGAACCCCTTGTATAGCGCCAGGAAACCTTCGTTGCGCACTGTCTGCAAGCGAGATGTAAAGAGTTATAAAGATATGAAATGATTTTGCTATCCATGATTAAAGTCAGACATTTGATAGGCTCGATAGTCTAGTAAAGGTCTATGTTAAGGGTACTAGATAACTGATATTAATACTTAGTTTTTTTTTGTAAATACACACATAATATATATAAAAACACCCAGACAGATACAAATAATCATTTTATTTATAAAGTCTTTATTGCACCAAACATTTTACACAAGAATTATACAAAAAAGAGATATACTATATGCATATCTTTTTTTTTTCAAAAGGCGGTCTTATCGCAAACCGGCAGTCTCTTCCAGACAACCTTTAGGTACAGAAAAAACAACGAAAGTGGTAGGTGGCGTATGAATAGAATAGAAGAATATATATAGAGGTAATAATAATATGAATGTAAATGTGAGTAGAATGCGAGGAATCGAACTCGTGACAATAGAAAGTAAATGAATGTGCTAAACCGCTAGACCACCGAGGTCGTCAAGTTGTACTGTGTACCTACAGCATTTTTTATGATAATAATAATAATAATAATTCTTTATTGCGCACAGACAAACAAAGAACAATAAAAAAATTTATAAAAAGTTATTAAATAAACTTATTAAATAAATAAATAAACTTACTCACTAATACATATTATATAATGTAGATATATAATATGTATTAGTGTGTAAGTTTATTGATTTATACTTATAAAATGTATGTGTATTATAAATATGTTGTCTACTGTGCGCCTTCTACCTTCTCTATGTAAATAGTATCTGTCAATACCAGGTTGTCTGTAAGAAATTGCTGTTAGTGATGAGACCGCCTTTTGTATAACTTTTTATCATTTTTTTTTATTGTTCTTTGTTTGTCTGTACATATGATATAAGGTAATGGTTTACATTAGTCGTGATGAGGCCTTAATTTTATTCTTACCTGCAAAAAGCAGTCGCTGGTTCCTTTGTAGATAATTTCATGTGATTTCGCTATGTGATCCTTCACTCGCCTTTGATTCATTAATCTTGTCTGCAAAACAAATTATAACATCTTTACATAGTGTACAGGACTCCTTACATTCGGTCCACTGGCTGGCACGATTTTCGTATTTAAATATTTTTATACGAAATACAAACAAATATTTATATTTTTATACGAATACTAGCTTTTAACCGAGCCTTCGCTCGCGTTAATTTATCCCCTTAGGTGTGGAATTTATCAAAATCCTTTCTTAGAGGATGCCTACGTCATAGTAGCTAGCATGCAAAGTCTCAGCCCGATCGGTTTAAAATTGACAAAGTTTCATATAAACTTTCATCCCCTATTTTATCCCTTTGAGGGTAGAATTAATCAAAGTCCTTTCTTAGCGGATGCCTACGTCATAACATCTACCTGCATGCCAAATTTCAGCCCGATCCGTCCAGTGGTTTGGGCTGTGCGTTGATAGATCACTACGTCAGTCACCTTTGAGTTATATATATTTAGATTGTCATTGTTGCTATGGTTTTCTTATACCTCTATTCCTCTTGCATCTTTCTCCTCTTTCTTCCTCTGCTACCATACATAGTTTGTTACGAAATATATTTTTATAATATACTGTTATACATTCACATATGCGCCTTTGATTTCCACCATCGTTGGCTGCACCGACCCAAGCGCCCTACACACAGTCCCACACACATAGTATAACAGAAGATAACCGCCTGTCTGTTCGCTTATATCTTTTAAATTAAGCAACAGATTTTGATGCACTTTTCGGTAATAGATAGAGTGATTCAAGAAGGTTTATAGGTATAATACACGCGAGGGGGAGGGAAACAGTACGAGGAGGCGGCATCAGAGCTCTCAGCATCTTCGATGTCATTGATGTCTGATTACGCCGCGTTGAAGGACAGGTGACAGGAAAGGGAGAGGATGCTCAGAGCCTGAGTCATAGCAGGAGCCACTATTCTAGAATAGTTAATACGATTCTCACCCATGGACAAGTCGAACGGTGGTACCTTTTTTGAAAGCCGGGCGTTAGCGAGGAGGATCCAGATCCAGATCTCCGCCTACTGGGAGATAGGACACATATTCGGAGATAGGATTGAGCTCATGGACTAGCTACTGGACGAGATTCGTAAGTCCGGTAACAAGAAGAATACCGTAGTCAAATCGGTGAAAAAAGTAGTGGCCATCATCCTTGAAAGAAAGATGCGTTTGGTGTAACAAACGGCCACAATGGAGGTCGGTAAGTTGCGGAAAACTTCAACTGCAATCCAACGCGTACGTCCAGCGCACCAAGATTAGAAACATGACAGAGGAGAATCTGCAGCTGCGGGTTGCGTTGAGTAAGGCGGAAGTAACAGTAGTGATTGCTGGACTCCCCGCACCCGTCGCTGGAGATATGGATGAGGCGCCAGCTATAGGCACCGGGCTTCCTACACCCGGAGCTCCAAAGTCGAGAACCCGAAACTCGGGTGCTCAAACGCCCTGGGCGAAAGTATTGGAGGATCGGAGGAGAGGGTAGTAGCGCGACTCGACAGTCGCGCTACACAACAAAGCCAATACAAGCCCGACGGCTTGTTTGAAACCCGTTTGGCCGCCCACAGGGAAAGATCCTGCCCTCACACTGGGCACTAGCAAAGGCGCCGCCTCTTCGACCTCTCCTGCCTCCTCGGGGGCGAAAGGGGAGTCGAAGAAGAAATAGAAGATGGCCGCCATTAGGAGCGAGCAGTCGGAATCTGCTAAGGAAAAATGACCAGTGTCGTCAGTGACCAAGTCTTAAGGAGCAGGGCTAGACGAAGGTGGCTTCGAAGGGTTTCAAGCCCAAAGGAAAGGGGCGGCCCTACAAGAGTGCCGCCAACGCTAGCCAATCAAAGGCCTCAATATTGTGCCTGCCCCGCTATGCATCGGTAGTAATTGTTAGCTCGGCCGCTTCGGTTCTTATAGAGCTCCTGTGGCGAAGAACGTGGGATATGCGGATTGGCCATTAAACTTGGTGAAGCAAGCCACTCCGGTTCGGAGCTATATGGGTGCGGTGGCCGATCGCTGCGGCGAAAAAGCTGCAGGATCAGGGCAGCCTTAAAATAGGTTGGGTGCTGCTTAAGAAGAGGCCGATGCGGTGCTACCGTTGTTTGTTGCCGAGCCCTGTAAGCGGCGGTGGCCCGCAGTCGCGCCTATAATAAGTGGGGCATGGACAGCCACAATACATCGTCCTATTCAAGTAACCACACTGCGCATATTGTGCAGCTATGGGTTGACCGGTTTGATTGTGAAAAGGTAAGGACAGACTAAAAACAGATTAGTATGGATCATACCGATATACACCAAATCTAGTACAGATTTAAAAACTAGTATTAAATTTCAAAAGTTATCTACTACTGCCAACATTGTTATACAGTACACTACGTATCACGCATAGAGTTAAGCACGGCACGTACCCGGATGACGTCGAGCGGCGTGCTGGCGACGGCGCTGCCGAGGCTGGCCAGCAGGCTCGAGGCGAAGTGGTTGGCGGGCGTGTCCCCCAGCGGCGCCAGCAGCCGCCGCTTGCGCGCGCGTCGTACGCGGGCAGCTCCACCGCCGCGATCACCGCCGCGCGCTGCGCCGTCGGGCCCACCCCGCGCCACAGCCCGCGCGCGCCCTCCCGCCGCCACGTGTCCGCCGCCACGCGCGCCACGCCGCGCCGCTCCGACCCCGTCTGACTCACTCTCTGTACACTCCGCACCGCACACTACACCCCGCGCCCCGCGCGCCCGCCCCACCCCGCGCGCGCCCCGCGCGCGCCTGACTCACTCTCTGTACACTCCGCACACACACCCGCCCCGCCCCCGCCGCCACGCCGTGTCCGCCGCCACGCGCGCCCCGCCACGCGCGCGCCGCTCCGACCCCGTCTGACTCACTCTCTGTACACTCCGCACACTACACCGCCCCGCCCCGCCCCGCCCCACCCCGCGCCACAGCCCGCGCGCGCCCTCCCGCCGCCACGTGTCCGCCGCCACGCGCGCCACGCCGCGCCGCTCCGACCCCGTCTGACTCACTCTCTGTACACTCCGCACACTACACCCGCCCCGCCCCGCCCCACCCCGCGCCACAGCCCGCGCGCGCCCTCCCGCCGCCACGTGTCCGCCGCCACGCGCGCGCCACGCCGCGCCGACTCACTCTCTCCGACTACACCCGCCCCGCCCCACCCCGCGCCACAGCCCGCGCGCGCCCTCCCGCCGCCACGTGTCCGCCGCCACGCGCGCCACGCCGCGCCGCTCCGACCCCGTCTGACTCACTCTCTGTACACTCCGCACACTACACCCGCCCCGCCCCGCCCCACCCCGCGCCACAGCCCGCGCGCGCCTCCCCCGCCGCCGCCGCCACGCGCGTGTCACTCTCCGCCGCACACCACGCGCGCCACCCCGCGCCCGCGCGCGCTCCGACGCCACGCGCCCGTCTGACGTCACTCTCTGTACACTCCGCACACTACACCCGCCCCGCCCCCCGCCCCGCCCCGCCCCGCGCGCCCCGCCGCCACCCCGCGCCACGCGCGCCCGCGCGCGCGCGCGCGCGCCCCACCCCGCCCCGCCCCAGCCCGCGCGCGCCGCCACGTGTCCGCCGCCACGCGCGCCACGCCGCGCCGCTCCGACCCCGTCTGACTCACTCTCTGTACACTCCGCACACTACACCCGCCCCGCCCCCCCGCCCCGCCCCGCGCGCGCGCGCCCGCGCCACGTGTCGCCCGCTACGCGCCGCGCGCGCGCCCGCGCCGCGTGTCCGCCGTATATAATGATTCTCTCTGTATACGTCACACTACACCCGCCCCGCCCCGCCCCGCCCCACCCCGCGCCACTCTAAGCATATAACAGAATGATTCTATCGTATACGTCACCTATACCACGCAGCGGACCTATCAATAACTTCACCCCCAGTCATGAATTTAAAATTGGACGGATTGTACCTTTAACTACCACATCTATCCTTATAGTTACATACATAAACAACTATTATATTAGCTGTTACACGCGTAAATCCACGTAAATTGTACTGCTTTATTCCAATAAATAAGATTTCTAAAATCAAAGTAGGCTTATAACATTAGCTATCTTCCCTCGTCCCTTCAAAATCGGTCCCGACATTTCAGAGATTAGCAAGAACAAACAGACAGAAATTACCTAGACTAGACCACCGAGGCCGTACTAGCTGTGCACGCACCGGAAGCCCTCAAATATGAATAATTTTCCCCGTTTTTGCAAGATTTTTCACTGACGCTTCGCTTCTATTGGTCGTAGCGTAATGTTATACAGCTTAAAGCGTTCTTCGACAAATGGCCTATCCAACACAAAATGAATTTTTCAATTCGTACCAGTAATTCCTGAGAGTAGCGCGTTCAAATAAACAAACAAATTCTTCAGTTATATAGATTACATACTATATCATAATAAATGTTTTACCTGCATTCTAACTTTCAATACATCTGTGGGATTGGCAATCGCGCTGGACAGTCCACCGGAGAACGCTGCGCAGAATGTGTTCGTCAGCAGATACTCCCTGGTGCCGCCGTCCGCGCGGTGCTTAGCTATTGCCTTCTTCATTGAATAGTATGTGCCAAACTTTATTGTGCCGTATGTAGCCTGCCGTAATACCGCCGGCCATAGCCTGCAACAAGTTACTTAAGCTTGAGCTTAAGCCCAGTTCCTTGATAATAGTAGCGATTTCTTTTGTATTATTAAATTTGAACGCGTTTGACCGCAATATCACTTGATGTTAAGTGATGATGTGGTCTAAGATGTTACACGCAAGCTCAAATAGTGCCTTCACTTTAAAGACCCAATGTTGTAAGAGGTAGGAAAAATAGACGCTGGTAGAGAGTTCCACTCCTTAGCTGCTCGCATAAGGAAAGATGATGCAAAACGGTTGGTTCGAGCAGCTGGGATGTCAACAGTGTAGGGGTGGAGCCGCTCTCTATGTCTTGTTGTGCGGTGATGGAACGGTTCTTGAGCACATTCGCCAAAATAGAGCCTATCGAATACCGAATGATTGATGAGGGGTTTCCACTGCCACCAAGCTACTTGAGCAGTGTTTTATTGTTAAGGAGGTGAAATATATTGCATGTGTCGGTAATTAGGTAGGACAGTAAGCAAGCAGCGTTGAATCTGTTAAAACATATTTACTGAGCAAAGCTAACTCTTAACTTTAACAAAACTTTACTCACTAAAAGTCCGTAAGACGATCGTGCATGGCAATAGTTGTTCATGTACGGGATTTTCATTTAATGTTAGTTTTACTTTCATAACAAAATAACTATAAAAGTAAACAATGTAATTAAACTGGCAACTTTAAATGAAAATAAAAAATTCAGTTGAGTTTCTTGCCAGTTCTTCTCAATTGGATCTGTATACTAAACTGGACGGTAGGGAAAAACATTTGATGTTCATAAGCAGCTAAAAAGGCCTACATGAATAAATGATTTTTGATTGATTTTGATTTTGTCCGTACATCCTGCCGCCAGAAGAAGATGCAAGGATGAGAGGATGCAAGTGAAATAAAATGCTAGTTGATATGAATGATACAACAATGCTCAGATAATACGGTAATCAGAGGAATCAACTATCACTGTCATAGCAGTGTTGGTCGAAAGTTAATTTTTTATAGCATAGAGGGCAAACGAACTTGCGGCTCAACTGGTGGTACGTGATTACCGCTGCCCATCAGCACCCGCAACACCAGGGGAATTGCAAGTGCGTTGTCGGCCTTTTAAGGAGGAATTATCTTTTCCTGAAAGCTTCAATATCGTAACGGTTCGGAAATACCATTTCTGGAAGGTGATTCCACAAATTGGTTGTGCGTGGCAAAAAGTTTCTAGAAAACCGCACTGTGGAGGACCGCCATTCATCCAGATGATCAGGATGGTATTTTAGTTTAGTTGATTAACTAACTAATAATCAGAGAGAAATTGAAATGGTTAAAATTAAAAATGTTTATCATTAATCAAGTTTCTTGCTCATTCTTGTGATGAGTCTGCGTTCCGAATGAGAGGTAGAATAAAAAAAATAACTATTTTAAAGAAATAATAGAATAGAAATAGAAATAATATTTGTATTGAGTTTATTTGCATAAAAATTATTTCTATCTATATTTCTCATAATCATTAACTTAATTAACTATTGTATTGATTATCTATTTCAAAATCCGCCTCGGTCACAGGCGGATCTTGTACCAAGTCTGACTTGGTACCAAGGTCACACGTATTTCTGTCTTCAAACTTCTTGCCTATGTAAATTTTACTCGATTGAAGGGTCATGTGACATATGGGACACAGTAACCTAGATACATCAAAATAATAATTGCATTTAATAATGTCTAATAACACAAAATCAATATTGTCTACTAAGCACTGCTGTGTCTAAACTGTGTCACCCCACCTTACATTTTCCTATTGTTATTTAGTATATAAGATCATTATTTCTATGTATATATTGTCAGTTTATTACCATCTGTAATATACATCGTCTCGACCAACAAAATAGTATCATTCATCCGCAATATGACACATATAAAGGACTAGCTGACTCGAGAAATTTCGTCTGCTTTTCATTTTCCCACCTTTTACAAATATTTTTCAATGCAGCTCCGCTCCTATTGGTCGTAGCGTAATGTTACGTAGCTTAAAGCCTTCCTTGACAAATGGACTATCCAACACAAAAATAATTTTTCAATTCAAACGAGTAGTTCCTGAGATTAGCGCGTTCAAACAAACAAACTCTTCCTCTTCAGCTTTATAACATGAGTATAGATTATTCAATAATGATATTATATCTAATAAAATCCTTTCCATTTTGATGAACCAATTAAAAAATCGTAAACGTAATATCATGATTATGCCATTTTGTAATAAATTCGTTATTACAAAATGGCATAGTCAAGATATTCACGCCTACCATTTACCATCGCACCGCTCGCCATCTACAGGGACTTCAGCCCCACACGCTGGAACCTAAGTGGTCTCGGACAGTGCGGTTTCAGAGAAGCTTCCTCCCGCGTACACTTAGATTATGGAATGAACTACTTGCCGAGGATTTCTCGAGAGATCATGGGGTTTTTCAAGAAGGGTATATTAAGGTTTCTTAAGGGTCGGTAATGCGCACACACAAGTGACACGCGACACCCCTGGTGTTTCAGACGTTCATAAGCTACGGTAACCATTTACCATCAGATGGGCCGTATGCTTGTTTGCTAACTACGTAGTATAAAAAAAGTTGCGATTTTTAATATTTTTTTTATTTTACTACCGTACCGTACATTGATTTTGCCAAGAATATGAGTAACACATACATATTCACAGATCAGATAACTTACGTCACAGACACTGTCATTGTAAGATAACATTTGACTGATTGCATCTATATAAATAAATAAAATTTATGTGTCTGTTTGTAATTTTAAATTAATAGGTTTTCACTAAATGCATGAACGTATATGTGGTAGTTACATCAAAAATTTTATTTAAAAAATGTTTTGTTTGTCAGTTTGTACTTGTTAAGCTCAGAAACGGCGGGGCCAATTTTGACGGGACTTTCATTCTCAGATAGATGAACAAACAAAACATAATAATAATAATAATAATAATAGTCAGAAAATTTCTATCTTCATCACATAACTCATCTTAAAAATAAGCCGTAAAAAGGAGATATAAAAATATATATATATAATAATAATAATAATAATGCACACAGACACACCCATAGTTTTGTCATCCACAGGAGTTATACCAAAACTGAACACACACCTAGACACGGTGCATATCCCCTCCTCTACAATAGACCTATTACAAAAAGCCTCATACTAAACACTATTCGGCATAGTCAGAAAATTTCTATCTTCATCATATAACTCATCCATGCTTGGCTAAGGCCCGCGTGTTTGAATATATTACTCCCGTAAAAAGGGAGATATAATAAATATATATATATATATATAATAATAATACGTTGTGTTAACAATATGTTGTTGAGATCCGTACATAAACAATATATGTATGTCTTGTTGGTCGCTCAAATAAATAAATACATTAACTTCATAAGAGGTGTGCAAAATTTATATTTAACTCACCCACAATACAGAGCTTTGACCCCCTCTTGGCGCGTGGTTTTGACGAAGCAATCCACCATGCCCGTGTACCGAAGCTCCACATGCCTCGGGTCTATCTTCTGTCCCTGGACCTGAAGACGAGTTTTTGTTGTGTCGATTGGGAATGTGCCTAGAATTGTTTGTACAATAGAATAGAATAGAAAATCATTTATTCAAATAAACTTAATTTAAGCACTTTTGATTGTCAAAAATTTTTTTTTATCTACCGCTCGTTCGTAAAGCTGTCTCATCAGAAGAATAACGAGAAAGAAACTTGTGTGTTGCTCTTTTAAATAATCCTTATAAGTTTACATTTACAAGTCGAAACGTGTGAATACAAACTACCAACCAGCACTAATTGTTTTGGGTCAAATATAAATATACAATAAGACTAAATCAGTCGTAATGAGGTATGTACCCATGTACTCTGGCAAAAGATAGAACATATGGAAAATGCTGGAGGAGGGTATTCATTTCAGATTGAATTCATCCCCACACACTAGAACAGGGTAGGCGAACCAATGGCACGCGTGCCATTGACGGCACGCGACACAATATTTGAGGCACGTCGTCGATCATAAAACTGTTTGAAGAAGCTGGCTCATGCTATTTTAACAATATTTTCACCTACCTATGCCTGCGAGTCATTATTTTCAGGGATGAATGACATTAAAAACTCGGTTAGAAACCGTTTGACAGATGAATCCAGTGGGGCTTTCAGCATGCATTTTGCTAAAAGTAACATCGTACAAGCCTGACATAAATTATTTGTCATCTAACCTGCAGCAGCAGAAGTCGCACTAATTTTACAATAATTTAATTTATGCGTGTAATGAAAACAATCCAAAATGTACCTCTTTTTACTTTATTTCATAGAGAGTTTTGATAGTATTTATTATATCAGAAAGTCAAAATTATTTGATGGCACGTCAATGACCCCATTAAACATTTTTGGAAAAAAATGGCACGTTGATACATAAAGGTTCACCTACCCTGCACTAGAAACTAAGTGGTCTCGGACAGTGCGGTTTCAGAGAAGCTTCCACTATACACTTATTATTAGTTTTATTTTCGTTTCAAAAAATAATCAATTTGAGATCCGTGGTGTCTTCAACGTCTATAGGCTATGATAATTTACCATCAGATGGCCCATATGGTTATTTGCCACCATGACAGTATAAAAAAAGCAGGCCTTTGTGTCTAAAGGTCAAGTTGATTAAGATATTAATGTGCAAAATGACTAATAAGTTAACATATACATAATATTATATATGTATTTAAACTTAAAAGTAAATACTTTTAAGTTTAAATTGTGTAATTGTATGTAGTTAATTAATAAAGACTATGAATATATATATATATATATATATATATATATATATATAATTTTGTCACTTCTACTGTCTCGGTAATATCATATATGATTTAATGGAACAAGTGTGTTATACGCACAACAGCCCAAATGAGAGGCCAATTGCGGAAAATGGAGTCCAACTGACATTGACATTGACATTGTACTGTTTAGCAATAGATAGAGTGATTCAAGAGGAAGATTTATATATATATAAGTACATCTCATATATGGGAACAAGTGTGTTATACAATTAGTCCTTGCTTCCAGCGAGCTAAGTCATAATTTTTTTTGCTGCAATCAGTCCCAGAACTATGAGCAGATTTTTTGGGTGTGGGATCTAAGAATGGAGTGTCCACCCCAGCTGGAAGATCTACTCTTTAAGCATACTGCAAACATTACACAATGTCACTTCTTATTTGTCGCTTGGGGTAAAGTATTTGTAGTAATTGAGCAGCCAGTTGATTTGGGTGGTTACATAGTCGCTTTTTATATTTTTCTTTACAATTGAGGATCTCCTCCTTTACTGTCAGTACACCAAGTTCCTTGTGAATTTCGTTGTTGATGTACCAAGGGACACCCGATACTGTTCTTAGTATAATATTTTGGGCCCTTTGAATGATGTTGATATTTGACTTTGACGCACTTCCCCTAAGTTGCAAGCCATATGTCCATACAGGTTTTAGAATGGACTTATAAATAAGTCAAAATAACATAAAATTTGTCTTAGATAATTTATGAATGACTCCTTACATCATTTATAAACTATAGGAATATAAACTTATTGATGTTAGTTTGAAGTATAACAATAAATAGATAACAAATATAAATTAAATAACAAATAAAGGTCAAACATCAGGGGTCATCATAATAAATATATATATTAGTTATTAATATTGTGATCTGGTGAAATTCATAGGCATAAATACATCAGGAGAATGTTGTAAATATATTTATTTATTTAAACTTCAATGCACAAATAAAGAAATAAAGGTACATCTGCTCATTGCGGACTTAACTTTAGAGTTATTTTCTGGCAGTCAACCATAGGGCAAACAGAATTTCATATATGTCTAAATTCTAGGACAGGATTTGTTCCATGGATATATTTCAAGGTTTTGTCAAATGTATATCTTATAAAAAAATTCTCATGTCACAATATTAGTTAACATACTCCTCCGAAACAGCTTGACTGATTTCTATGAAATTATATATGCATATTTATCAGGTCTGAGAATCAGCTACTATCTATTTTTCATACCCCTAAGTGATGAGGTTTGTCCACCCCTAACATTTATCTTTTATTTTTGGACAATTTTTTTTATACTCTTCTAGAATCAACCCCTATTTTTTATAGCGATTTTAACTTATATGACAAAACAATGTTTGCGTAGTCAGATAGTTGTATATATATTTACAAAAAAAATATCTGAGTAATTATATCAGTTGTCTAGTTGTGTCAAAAGTCAAGATAAATAGATGATACCTTAATTTTTTATTTATGTGTTTATCTTGACGTTCTTTTGCTCTTACATTATAAATTACATAATTTATATAGGAAATATTTCCAAATATAAAATAATAATTTTATCTCATTTCTAATAAACTCTGCTGAGGCACATTTGGGAATATACGATATTTGGGAATATAAGTTATTATCTTGAAATTACGATAGGACTATTATTGAACTTAGAACCCTGATAGTGGGAGCTGTAGGGGTTTTAAAGGGGTTGATTTGAGGTTATCTAGCACCCAAGGGAATATATAAACTTACCAAATTCTGCCACTATCGACGCTAAACCGCCGTAGACAAACGGTCTCCAGTCTCTATCTCCCATCACATATGAACAACAGTGGGAATGGAAACACAAAAAAAAGTCAACCGGTTCCACACGTTCAGGATAGCACACGGCGAAGCAATCAAGTCAATAGTTCAACACACAGAAAACTACTAATCTACATTAAATATACGCTTATTATATATTAAAACTTTAGTCACTGGGAATAACTATTTATCAAATCCAATTTTCAGAATTTTTAAATCCGATAAGAATATAACTCGGTTATCAACACAGACTAATTAACTATGTTCAGAAACTTAGAAGTAGTAGTGGTATATTTTATCCACAAGTGGATAGGCAAAGGTACGAGACCATACAGCCTAATCTTCAGTAGTATTTCCATGAAATTCAAAAATTCTTCAAGGCGATATCGCCAAATCTTTTCATTAATTATAAGTTTGTGTTAAGTCCTTGTATGTGTCCATAATTGAAATGTTTATAATTCTCCGATAGTTGCTATGATAAAGTCGTAAATTGGTTTAAAAGTTGCAGTGCATTTGAATAGTTCAGAAACTTAGAATCTCAGACTCTGGATGACACATCGGAAAGTGACATGTATAATTTTTTTGGTCCGATTCTTAAGGAAAAGCCAAAGGACTTAGGCCATACAGCCATTGTCAGTACAGAGACATTTGATGAATAAAACAAAACTTGTCAACCTTGACAATAACAACTAATGACAAGTCAATGCAGTCTAAAAATATGAAATTAAATTAATTAATTTTCCTCATTCCTCGTTCTCGTTCATAAATAATTGTTTTTTATGTACGTAAAAAATGTCCTAAATATTCACAAACATCAAGAATTTAATAAGAAGTCTGATAAGAAAAAAAACGTGCTATCTATACACGAAAAGTGGCTAATATAAATTTATTGGTGCTACCTGTGATTGCACCGCTTTGAATATTTAGGTAAGTAATGGTAGGTGTGGTGAAGAATTTGTAGAACGGGAATGGTCAAGTATTTTCTACATAGTTTTCTCTCCATTCTGACAATTTTCTCAGCCTGTAACTTAACACACTGCATGCATTTTGTTGACGAAAGAAGCGCGCCAATGATCAACATACGGACTATGCAAATAAAAAGAAATGCTGTTTGTTTTAATATAATAGATTGTAATTGTATTGTTTTAGCTCCTGTAATATTAAAAATAAATATACAAAATTTGCAAATGCATATAATATTATGTTAATATGTTTAATAGTAAACATGTCTAGAGAAACGTGCATTATTACAAAAGAATTAAATCTAATTATGAAACTATATCAATCTGGCTACATTGAGAATAGTATGCAGACTCCTGCTTCTTATTTAGTAGAAATTCATATCCATTCCTATTATATTTAACTATTATCTATACATGTAAATAAAATTGGAGTGTCTGTTTGTAATATTGATTAAACTGCTTTTCACTACATGCATATGAATATAAATATGATACATACATCAAAATAACATTCTTTTCAATTTTGTTGTCACAATATTAAATTGTGCCTTTTTGTAGGAAATATTATTATTATCTGTTTTTCACAGCTTAAGCTGATGATCAGTACAAAGGACGGAACATGCCAAGTCTCTCGTTATTATTATTATTATTTGTATATTCTGTTTTCTCAGCTTTTTTTGCTGAGTTTTTACTCTTTGCGCGTATTATTATTTATATATATTGTATATATATCTCCTATTTTACGGGGGCCTTAGCTGTATATATATCTCCTATTTTACGGGGGTAATATGTTCAAACATGCAGGCCTTAGCCAAGTGTGGATGAGTCTAAAAGTTATATGAGGATGATGCATGTGATGACAATAGAATTATTATTATTATTTCAAAATTGCTGTCAATTGTTCCAGCTACAACTATGTTTGACAACTACGGCAACCAACAGAGTCCACAAGCCCCTCCACCACCAGAAGTGAAAGTGCTGAGGTTTGACAAGAACTATGTCAAAACACTACCTGGTGTACTTAAACTAATTCAAGTGGTGAGTTTTTAATATGAGCTTCTTAGCATTTTGGTAAAGCACACTTGATACCTCTGGTGTTTATTGGCTATGATGATCATCAGGATGGTAATCAGGCAGACCATAAGCTTGTTTGGCACCACTGTGTGTAACATTGTGGTGTTACCACTAAAATCTCTACATGTAAATAAAATTGGAGTGTCTGTTTGTAATATTGAAATAACAGTTACTACATGCATATGAATATAAATACGGTACATACACCAAAATAATATTATTTACAATTTTTATCTGTCTGTCTGTTTGTGTCGGCTAATCTCTGAAATGGCTGGACTGATTTTGAAGGGACTTTTCTTGGCAGGTAGCTGATGTAATAAGGAGTAACTTAGGCTACTTTTATTTTAGAAGAGAAAGTTAAATTCGATGCGGACAACGTCGCGAGTACAGCTAGTACAAAATATAATTAGATATATATGGTTAGCTGTTGCCTGTATACTGAAACTGTAACTGTAAAAGGAGTCGTTTGGCCAGCATCTAAAAAAATTAAATGAGATGGCACTTCACTCATATGCCTTATCTCCTAACTAGCTACTCGCCCCGACTTCGCACGGGTGTACATGTATTATATATATAAACCTTCCTCTGGAATCATTGGCCTCTCATTCGCACAACGGCCCGAATGAGAGGCCAATTGCGGAAAATGGAGTCCAACCTACCTACATCCTCTGGAATCACTATATCTATTAAAAAAAACCGCTTCAAAATCCGTTGCGTAGTTTTAAAGCTCTAAGCATACATAGGGACAAACAGCGACTTTGTTTTATACTATGTAATAATGATTCCCATAACTCCATAGAAAAGAAGGAAACAATAAAAAAATACAGTGTTAATCGTAATGGGTATAACAAAATTAAATTCAGGGATAATACTCCTGAAATTCTTGTCCCATGAATTATAAATTCAATTAAAATTTAAGTATCATTTATTAATGTAGTACATTTTATGAATTGAATTTTTCCTCTTATACAGTTCAATTTTCTATATACTTTTTTGCCTCCCTATTAGAGATGTGCTAACTCGTAATAAACATAACTCGAGTTAACTTGAGTAATTTAACAGTATTAAGCTACCAACCAACCAATTTTTTTATTTCAAACAGCAAAATACTTTAAATAGGTGTTTGTTTTATGATTATATGACACTATAAACCGATATTTATTTTATAAAAAAAGGCGGTTAGTCTTTATTTTAGTGAAAAATAAGAAAATCTATTTCGATACCTCTATACTATCTTATCACCAGGACTGATTTAATCTTATTGTGTACTTATATTTAACCCTAATAAATTAGTGCTGGTTGGTAGTTTGTGTTCACACATTTCGAATTGTATAATGTGAACTTACATAGATTATTTAAAAGAGCAACACAAGTTTCTTGCTCGTTCTTGTGATGACAACTTTCCGAATGAGCGGTAGCTTAAAAAAAAGTGCTTAAATTAAGTTTATTTGAATAAATTATTTTCTACAGCTTTCCGAATGAGCAGTAGATTAAAAAAAAAATTGTTATGTCTATTCAAAAGTGCTTAAATTAAGTTTATTTGAATAAATTATTTTCTACAGCTTTCCGAATTAGCGGTAGATTAAAAAAAAAACATTGTTATGACTATTCAAAAGTGCTTAAATTAAGTTTATTTGAATAAATGATTTTCTATTCTATTCCATTCTATACAAGTACCATATATTTATTAATACCTATACTTTATTAATTTTGTCTTAATTTCCTATAGTGCCACAAGCCTATTTAAAAAATACAAATACCTGGCAACATCGGTAAAACAGACTGCAGTAATAATTATATTATAATTTCAGATATGCAACCTAGTCGGGTTCATCTGCATAAAGGTGTCATGGGTGTGGTTATCAGCTATATTCTTCAACATACTGTACTGGTTTGCGAACGTCGTAACCCTGCTGCTACTGCTCATGTACACATTCCACTTTGTGGAGAAGTATGACCGATGGCCGTGGCTAAAGCTGGAGTTCTTCTACTGCTGTGTAGTGGTACTAGCCTACATATGCTTCTCAATATTTGCAACGGCGATCGGTGAAAGCGTTGGATATGCAGTTGGGGTGAGTTGTCTTATAATTTTATAAATGAAATTAATAAAATTCATTCAAATCTAATTAAAGTAATTAAAAAAAATGTGGCATAAATGATACATTATTTTGGTAGAGCATTAAATTGCTCTTTGCTATCAGTATTTTATTTGTTCTTTGTGATCTGAGACAGTCTTTTATCTGATCATGCTTGGTAAACAAATTGGGATATTAATAATAATAATAATAAGTACACACTCACACATGCGCTCATACGCACGCACCCACGCTAGCGCACGCGCACATGCACAGACACAGACACGCACGCACGCACGTTGGTTTCGGCCCGTAAGTGTGGAAAAACCCTGGACAATTAACACAACGCTATCTAGTCCCACGGTAAGTAGAGCTTTATGGGTACTAGACAACTGATATAAATACTTAGATATTTGTTTTTCTAAATACATACATAATATATATAAAAAACACCCAGACCGACACAAACAATCATACTCATGAATACAAATGTTTGCACTGTGCGAGGATCGACCCGCGACCACCGCTGCAAAATTTAAGAGTGAAACGAAACGTTAATGAAACTGGCACCATGGTATAGTATCTTAAGTAACTTAAATTACGAATAAACATAGAAATAGAAATAGAAATAATCTTTATTCAAATAAACTTAATATAAGCACTTTTGAATAGTCAAGTTTTTGATTCTACCGCTTATTCGGAATGCAGACTCATCACAAGAAGAATAAGCAAGAAACTTGTGTGTTGCTCTTTTAAATAAATATTGATTTACTTATATTTAATTCACAACAAGGATTAGGCATGCGACAATCAATATAGAAACCGCTACGCACTTAATCTCTGTTCAATCAGATAACATTGTTGAACAACAAACAACTGAAATACTAAGTCATAATTTGTAAATGAAACTGTCCCGCACCATGCTACAGCGCACATGCCATAGTTCTTAAGTGAACTTCCCAAGCCCCCATGATATAGTTGTATTTTTTTTTGAGGGATGATAATGGAATGCTGCACCCGCCTGCGCTAACGGTTTACGCTGGCGGGGCACCAGTGGAGTTTTAAAATCACTAGTATCCTGACGACTTAGGCGTAATGCCGATTAGTCAGGGAGAGAAACACCTCAATGCCTACAATATTCACAATTATCTATCTCTTATTTGTTTTTATAATAATATCAACACTTTCGCTCCAAAACTCCCGCTGCCTCCGTTCAATCGTCCGTCATCCACTTGTCAATGTCACATAGATTACTTTGGCTTTGGCCTCTGACGTTCCGTTTCAGGTTACATGATTATTGACTTTACCATTTTTAATTAATGGTGCGTCACACGATAGTTAACAGTCGGCCATCCTGCAATAGTGTCTGGCCCAGACACATAGGTAACTGATGAGCGTAGTCATGCTTATCAAAAGATATAGTGTCTACAGGATCATATAACAAATACTTAACTAAATAAACTAAAGATACACATTACTTTCATAACATTGACTATCTTAGTATACTGTCAAAGGTTTACAATCTAAAATCAATACTAACAGAGCTAAGTTTCGGCATGCATTCAGAATGCACAAAATATAACATAACATATATTAATTTACATAATCCAAATCACCCAAAAACATGAACAACCTTTTAGAGTAACAAACAATTATTTGGCGGTGATTGACTTCTATGAGTCAGACTGTAACATATCAACATCACAATGTAAGTTTCCGATCCGATGAACATTGCATTTTTTTTTATACCTCCAAAATAGAACTTGACATTTCTCATCATGAATATTTTAACGGATAAATTTAACATATCACATTACAAAAGGTAAAACTTAATTACCTACATATATAGAGAAAAAAATATAAAGAGAAAGTATTATTCTCGTGACATAAAATTAGAACAAAATCGCTGCCTGCCTTCACCTCACCAATAGAAAATAACATGTCAATATTATTCAAGTGGATCTAATACCCTCAATACTACTACTACTATTTTACTTCGACGATACTCTTGATTTACCAGAGAATTATTTTAATATATGTAACATAATTCATTGAATTTCAGTTATGATTTACTTAACAATACCATCAGCTCACTGGTCAAGTAATCTATTGCACCCTTTGAACCCTGTACATTTAGGGAACTATAAATGATTGTAGATACTGATCTCAATTTTCTTTACAACACCAGTTTAACATAAACCAAAACCCACTGTTCCAGATTAATGTGAAATAGAAATAATCTTTATTCAAACAAACTTAATATAAGCACTTTTGAGTAGTCAAGATTTTTGAATCTATCGCTTATTCGAAACGCAGATTCATCACAAGAAGAACAAACAAGAAACCTGTGTGTTGCTCTTGTAAATAAATATTGATTTACTTATATTTAATTAACAACAAGGATTAGGCGTGCGGCAATCAACATAAAAACCGCTACGCACTTAATCTCCGTTCAATCAGACAACATTGACAGCGCTATGAATTTCAAGTTAGATATTTTCTAAAAAAAAACACTGATTTATAAATGATGACATTTATAAATTTTTCAATTTTATAATAAGCTTTTTTTTTTTCAAAGAAAATATTTTATGACACATTTGATTTCTTTTTCTGGCAAATTGAATACAGACTCTGGGAGTTTGTTGTAAAACCTTGCGCAATTTCCATAAAACGAATTACTAACTTTCGTCAAACGAACGTGAGTTTAGTAAGCCTACTATTCACTTTATATTTTATCGATGGTATTCGTAGCCACTTCGGCCATCCAACGTTATCGAAGGGCCTCATTCGATATTATCATAACAGTTAACATCGGGTAATATAATAAAATTAAAATCATATAAAATTTAGTTTGAGATACTTTACATACTTAAAATATGAAAGTTGCCACTGACAACTACACATTACATTTCAACATCATGAATTCAATCTTTGTTATATTTTTCCGCCTTAAGTTGTATCACTTAATTTTTTACACCAGGTACTAGTCAGCATCTCTGCAAACACGGCTGCCTAGCTAATTAGTGAAATACCTGTTAAAACAAAACATTAAAAAAATGCCACCGCTTGCCCACTATGACTACGGTCTCAACAGATCTGGATTTTATTAGACTCAGCCACCGCTTGCCCGCACAAGGAGCTACGGCCTCAAACTGGTCAAATTCTCATTAGACTCAGCCACCGCTTGCCCACACAAGGAGCTACGGCCTCAAACTGGTCAGATTCTCATTAGACTCAGCCACTGCTTGCCGCCACAAGGAACTACGGCCTCCAACTGAAACACATCAAATATTTAACAACTGGTCATTTTCTCAATGAGGCATTCACCGCTTGCGCACGCAAGGAGTTACGGCCTCCAACTAGTCATATTCTTTATGGTACTATGCTATTTTTACTTCAGCCTCAAGTGCTCTACATTGCAACTCAACTATGGGTTATATGCACTCCCATCAATATTTACTATTACTTTTTATTCTATTACATATCTTTAAGAACTGGATTTCCTGGTTCCATTTTACTATTTCTCCAACGCTTTAAAGGACTTTATAACATTTAATCATAAGTTAATTCAATTTAATTATGTACCAAATTCGAATTATATATCTGGTTGATATATATCTAGTATCTACCAAATCTTGAGTAGCATCAACAAAAAGCGAGTCGGTCGTTGTACGTCGCATTGAGCACACGCGGATCCCCATTTTCTCCGTGAACTAACGTATACGGAACCATCAGCCGCGACCTCAGCGCAATCATCTCATCAGTATATCATCAAATCTAAATCACCATCATTTACCTTAAAATCCATAAATCGTATTCATAGTCATATGATTATTATATTAATCTCATAATTTCATCAAAGTATTGCAAATCATTTTTCATTGTCATATCAACCGCCCGTTCTATTAGCCATTTTGCTCATAATTCAGCTTGTCATGGATTGTAACTCATCATTGTATCACTAGCATTCCTTAATCTTTCAGATCTATTCGTTCATGTACAACTCTTCACCGCGTATATTTACCGACTATTTTCCATAGAGGTGTATCAAATTTTACCTTGTGATCGTCCTTACTACAATCTTGCAGTGTAACTATCTTGTACACCTCGAGCGCTTTATTCATAATATTTCTAAAGTGTCTGTATACGGTGTCTGGGTTCTATAAATTAGCACCTCTTCTAATTTCCCATTAATTACAACAGACACATAAAATCAATTCTGAAAGGATTAATTTCAATTTAAACTATTTAGTTAGTACAATAGTCAATCCGATTTCTCCAAAGGGCGTTCAGCCACACATACAAGTGCATATAGGTGCTCGGACTAATCTATGGAATCAAATGCCCAGCATTTGATTGCGTTGATCATTACTTATAAAAATTTTAACTTCCGTCGTCGTCAAAGACAACGCTTTAAATTTAATTCAATCTTATTTATCTGATCAATATCAACCAAATATTTGAAAACAACATCACCGTTATTATTATAAACTTCCAATATCTCTACACCTGTAATTTTGTACAATTCAACATTAAAACACCCTCACTTATTTAATACATCCGTTCTCGTATGCTATGCAAGTGACAACATCAATTCTTATATGTTGATGAGTTTACTATTAAAAGCCTTAGTTAACACTCTTATTTTACTTCAACTCAACAGTTATGTCAAAAGTGACAATGGTCTAAATACAACACATCCAATCTCATATTCCAGTCAATTGAGTCAACATGTATACCAACAATTCTTACATGCTCGTTAATTTAGCATTATACGCTTCGATTATACTTTTTTTTTTTTTCAACCAATTAAAATCTTAATAGATACAATATCTCAAGATTTAACAAAGGTTAACTAGAAATTAATAAAATTGGCAAAACCATCTACAACAGTAATTTTTAACTGTAAACTGTAATCTATTGTTAACAATATTTAACTTTCTTATATCTTAACTTTCATTTATATCCTCTAGTAACTTTTCTTATATATTCCTGGG